TGCTGTCCTCATTTATTTATTTATTAATCAGATGTTTAAAAATCCCTCCCTGTAGTAAAAATGGCCCTCTGGGGCCACTGGGCTGTACCCACTGCCATTCACATGTTGTCATTTCTCTTGTTTCCACATTGCAGGTGCTCTTTCAAGTTCAGACAGCACCTCAAACTGTAAAGTATCCTGGCTGCTAATAATGTGATACATTAACTCTTTAATGCTCCAGTTTTCAATGAGTTACTTAAAAGGGACTTTCAAAACAAGGGCAAACATTACAAGACCTGTGAAAAGCATTTATTATTACATTTGACATTATGACAAATCACAGTAATATGCAGTTGACCACCCATCCCTCTAACAATTCCAAGCATAAGAATAAACTTAACAGGATGAACCAATACAATCATTATCCAGGGTTACAAAAGAAAATCATAACTGCAGATTGCAGCTTGCTGCTGGAGCACTTGCTTTGCATACAAGAGCTCACTGGTTCAATCCCCACCATCTCCAGGTAGGGCTGGGAAAGACCCTGGAGAGCCACAGCTTGTCAATGTAGACAGTATTAATCTAGATGGACTATTGGTCTGGTGGCCAGGTTCCCACCTCCTATGGAAGAGCTCTATGTGCACATCTTGGTACATGCATCACATGCAGGGAAAGCAAGGATGACCCTTCTCTCCTTGCGAAGGTCACACCTCTGCTCTGCTGTTTTCCAGGATAGGCATCCAGGTGACCCCACCATGCAGGTCTGGCTGTACAGCGCCTATCACACACGCCATGTGGTGCTTAATGCATGAACACAGGCATACATTCAGGCCAGTACGAAAAGGGCGGATTGCTGAGCTAAGCCATGCTGTGCATCTTCACTGTCATGGCTTCGTAGAATCCATACGTGCACAATTCCTGATCACTACAGAGTTGCTGCAGCCAGAGGTTTTGAATAGCTGCTAGCCTACAGCTTGATTGCATGTAGAGCTCTTGCCCCTCGGCCTTCATCTACAACCACTGATGAAGGCAGAATTATGGCCATTATTTTTTAATACAGCTGCTGTGCAGGAATGGATGGGCCCAACTGCTACTAAAAACTCCCAAGAGGTTTTCTCTTAATATACTTTTCCAGGCATCATATGCAATCTCTCTGAAAGTGGGGCAACAGAGTCTATGAAATGAACCTTGGAGATCAGTTACGTGTAATCTGGTGTGTGTTTCTCAGCCTTAGATCCAGACTTAGTCATATCAACAATAAACCCATTTAGGTTACCCATGATTAAATTAACTCTCATTGATCTTAGTGGGTCTCCTGTAAACACTACTAAGTCTGAACTGAACTTTTGGCACCCAGATAGGTTCATATAGCTGCTGGAGTTAATTTTGTGGGTTGCAGAAATCTTCAATGAAGAGGTTTAGTTTTGTTAACGCTGTTGCTCAATACAACAGAAGATCAAGGTTTTCAGTGGTTGGTTTCCCTGCCTCTCCATCACATACCTAAATATTTGTTCAGATGGAACGATTTATCTTAAAACTGGATTGGAAAGTTGTCACAAGTTGTCACTTGCTGGTCATTTGGCCCATGGAGGGTCTAATGGAGGGCATTCTAGTCCCCACACTTTTGCCTTGCATGAGAAAACTTCCTGTAGACAAAAAGCTACCACAGGAGAGAAAAGGAGGGGGGGGCAGTTTTGGGTAGGGAAGAGATCCTGGTTTCAGGTCTACCTGACCAAAACACACTCCAGTTTCCATAGGTTGATTTACTTAAGTCTCTGTGTGTGTCTTTAAAGGATCTTGTCCCCTAAGGACATTCCTATTTGTAAAAGGGACATAAGGATAGGGGAAAGGGGTGCATTTGATCTTAGCCAGAGGTGGCCTCCCAGAGATTTGGGGCTTCAAAAGAAACTTCTGCGGTACCAGCCCTAGTTGGCTGTCCTTTAACACTTTCTCTGGATGAGAGAGACTGACCTGCAGTGATTCAGTTCCTGCTATCACCTGATTCTGCTGCAAACCAGCTCATAGTCTTGTGAGGGAAGAGGAGGGAGTAAGGATCTCTAACAGAGAATTCTCAACACATCCACCAAACTACAATTCCAGGATGCTTTGGCAGAAACCATGAAGGGGTGACTTAAAGTGAAGGTAAGGACCCAATATGTAGGCATCTGGCTAGATTGTGTAACCAGTTCTTACCATTTTTGTAGTTTAGCACTAGAACTGTTGAAGGGACAACTTCTCTATGTGGAATACTGATTAATACTCTTAGTTCATAATTGTTTGGGGGAGAGTCAATAAAGACATAGTCTGCAGAAGGTATGCACTATTCCATACCAATATTCCCCAGCAGTGCTTAACTGCCAGAATATTGTTTTGCTGGTTGGATTAATGAAAGCCAGTTAGGAAACCTAAGGGTAAGGCAATTCTTTAGAGCAACTGAGTGAAAGCTTCTACCATTTATCTGAAACTCAAACTTCTGTATATGGTGAACTTCAGCCATGGAAATGGACTCTACTGGCAGAATCCTGATAGGCTGTAGGCCCTTTGCAATAGATTGACAATGCTTCATCCATGAGTGAATATCAGCCACAGCTGCCATCAACAATAAACTAGTTTCTCTGGATACCTTTCAGACTTTTAAAGCAGGAAACAACACCAAACATTTTGAACAATGCTCATACTTATCAAGCTTCCCTTTAAAGGTTTCTGTTTATCAATTTTATTTTAAACCTCTTATAATGCATCACATTGTAAAAAGGTACAATCACTTCCTGAACAAAACAAGAAAGCAGGAATTGCAGAACTGAGTTGTTCACAGGCATCCAACACGTGCTTAGGCAAGCGTAAGCCCTTGAGTTTTTGATGGCATTGCACACATCTAACTTTGCAGGATGGTGGTCATGTCCTGTGTGTAGTAGATACAGATAGACATGTATTGCATGCTTAATACATGTCATGGGGTGGTCCTCTCTCACATGTAGGCTTTGGTGCCAGGGTCATATGATATTAGCTAACTTGCAAAAAACAAAACACAGCCGAAGCTTCTATTCACAACACTGCCTCTTATTTAGACCCATCCTTCATCCCCAAGGCTGGTCCTCTAGAACAATCATGGTTTACAAGTGATCTTTATTTTTGCTAGAGAACCACCAGCTAGAGCCAAAGTGTTGCTCAGGATGGCCGTGAATCTGTTTGCAAACTGGTTGCTCAAGGGGTGGCTTCAACTACCTACGTTGGGATGGCCTGCATGCAAAGTACAATTGTGCATCAGAGTGATTCTCACTGATCAGGGATTCCAACAGCTCAGTTCTGGGGGCAGATGTCTTTGTGCTATTGGTCTCATTTTAAAAAAAGGCGTGTGTGTTGGTGGGGGAGTGGAATCTGAAACTCTCGCCATACCATTGCAAGTGACCAGCAGTACCCTCCTCCACATTCTCTGAAGATACTCAATCGTCTGCGCTTCTAGACAGGAAGAAGTCCCAGCTCTCCAAGCTTGCCCCTGCCAGTATATGGAAGTAGTGGGACCTTTTTTCTGCCTAACTCTGTGTAGGATTATGTTCTGAGTAATCTTTACGGAAGCACCACCAGTCTCCAGCCCATTCTTGTTCTTTCCTTCCTTCTCTCTCTCTCTCAAATAAAAGTGACCTTGGCTTTAAAAAGCTGCCCTCTGGAACTTCCTATTATTGGAAGAAATGGGGTGAGCTCTCCCTCTTTTGGGGCACAACCTTGCATATTCGTCAAAAGTTTGGTCAGATCAATCCATTTCAATTTCTTCTATGTATCAAGTTTTACAGTCCCAAAAATAAATAAAATGACAGCAAGATGATAGTTCATAAATTATGTTTCCAGCATTAATGCTGAGTCAATGTGAAATATGACTAAGGGACACCTGGACAAGTATTTAGAGAAAGCTCATAAATAGAGATGAAACTGTTGTGGATTTTTTTGTTTTGTGTTGCTCTGTGGTATAATTCTCCAGCTGGAAACAGCTATTACTGTTTCCCAGAATGCTGTCAGGCCATGCTATATGCGTATTTCATGGTTTACACCTTCTTCAAGTTAGTGGCCTCTGGATGTGTTGGACAGCAACTCCCATTATCCCCAGACAGCATGTTCAATGGGGATGGTGAAAAGCTGTATTCCAATACATCCGGAGACCATCAGGTTGGGGAAAGCAACATGAATCTAATATGTGGGGCAGGACACAAAAGTGACCATTGAATATTGTGAGCTTCTCTTTAGGCTGGCCAGCAACTTGATTCAGTTTCACTATCATCCCCAACTGATTCGCTTTGCAAAACTGTGAAATATGGCAGCCGGGCACATTGTCCCCAAACCACATGGCTGTGCTGACTTCAGCTGGTTCTTCTTCTGACCCTTTTTGTTCTTACCTCTTCAGTGGGATAAAGGGCCACTGCCTACAAATGGATGCACCTTTTCCTTCTCAGTCCACTTCTTGCTAGAGGTGAGGAGGCACTTGCCCTGTGGATCTGTCCTGTCCCATACTTTCAATTTGATTACCATATTTGCTTTCAAACAGCATTTCTAGGAAATTCATTAGGGTTTGTTCACCCATGGAGTAGAAGTAATGTGTGGCCATTTTGGAAAGCTGGAACACTCCAGGGTGTCTCTTAGTTAATAGAGGGCCAATGTTGATGCCTGATAAGCCCAGCCAATTCTTGATAGGTTCACATGTACTGTGCACCCTAGAAGCATCTATAAGGAGGTGGGCTTCCATGGCAGACATACAAGAACTTCTCAGTGAACAAGTCAACATGGAAAGTGTGCTTTGACTGTGGACAGTTTGAAAACCAAGGACTGGATGGAGCCTTCCCTAATCTAGTGGCATCCAAAGGTGTTGGACCAGTGTATGATATAAAAAAGCAAAGGTGTCTATTTTGGCATGAGATAACAATCTGTAACCTGTTGCAGCTGAGCAATATGAATGTAGCATTGAAAATGTGTGAGGGCACAGGTAGAACCTGAAGTGAGGAAATGAAAACTCAGCTTGGATGGTCAGTGCTTTATGTGTCAGCTATCAGCGGCTGTAGGAATAATCCTGCTGTCCCAAACACACAGAGAATGATGAACACCCACAGGAACACTCTGTCAATCACCATGGCGACATACTTCCAGTCGTTCTCCACCTGCAACACACAAGACGACATGTTGGATCTCATGCCTATTCCATAGGAGCACAGTATCAAACTGGGTCTCGGTTGAGAGAACTTTTGCTTGCACTGTATGCATTTTCAGCCACTGTTTTGTGGGAGTCCACAGGAAACTAAAGGTATAGACTCCTATACCTCTGATACATAAGCCACATTATTCTCTAACCTTCCCAAAATCCATTGGAGCGCAACTTTGACAAGGGACAGCTTAATACACAGAAATTGGATGTCAAGTACCTTAAAAGTTCACAGTTTTAATTTCAGACTAAATTTTATAATCAATTAATTGTATATTTTTATCATAGCAAAGGAGGGAGGGACCTCAGTCCCAAATGCCTGCTGCCAGGTCCCATGTGCACCCATCTTTGGAGCTGGCACCTGGGGATGCAGATGAAATCACTCTGAGGCCCACATTTGGCCCACAACCCCCAGTGCCTCATCCTTGCCTTAAAAGGCCTGCCAGTTAATGCTCAGAATTGCTTTGAGGTAGACATGTGAACAGATATGGTGCCCTCTCTCCATTTCTGCCATGCCCCGATCCTCTGCAGGACAGTTACTCATACTGTCCAAGTGGCCAGTATCTTCAGCATTCCTCTCTGCTCCCCTTTCATTTGTATACTGATCTGTTTGAAGAGGTCAGTGCCAGCAGTGATGGAGTCATCAGCTCTGGATTGGGAAATGCAGAATCTCAGAATCCTGCCATAGCAAAGACCCCCAGTTTGGCTGTGACAGGACACCGTGGTTCACTTATTCTGTTTAGTCCCGAGTTGGCTCAAAAGCTGCAATCCAACCCCATGTGTGTTTTGGCTACCTTTCAAAATGGCTCCCGTGTTTCTGTGCATCAGCAGAGCTTTGTAGACTTCAGCAGAGCTTCATTGATTGAACATCATCTTGGAATTGGGACCTCAGACTCTGCAGGGCTCCTAAGTGCCCACTCAGTGTTTTCATGCTGAAGCCAATGATCCCCCAGCATGAAATATTTATCCATTAAAATAAGCAAAGCCATTAGTACACTTGCTGAGTCCCGTAAATAGTGGCACCTTTTGTTTCGTTATGAGCACAACCCCACTAAACAAGATTATTTCTCTAGCAAAACATTCACTGAATAATGAGAATTTGCCTATAGAGACTTTGTTGGTTGCTACCCACCTCCACATGCCCACCCTCTTAATTTAGCTATTTTATCAGTCCTTGGTAGTTTTCAATTGTTCCGAGATGCTTTAAGTTGTTATAAATTTCTGTATGTTTCAAACCCTTTTGTTAGGGTTCCTGAGCCTTTTTCTGAGAAAAGTGTGTAAGAAATCCTAATTCTTGTTCACTTGGCTCCAAGCAAGACCAGGTCAAATGTCTCAGAACCCACCACCCCGTACCACTCCCCAAAGAGAATCAACAGATGGGGTATCTCCTTCCAGCCCTAGGACTGAAGGAGATGAACAGGCTGGGGGACAACCACCCAAATTAACCTGTGAAGTCCTGAGAACATCTTACTGCACTTCCAGGCCTGATCTGAAATCCGGGGAAACAAGGGCATGCGAAGTCCACTTGACAAGTTAGTCACTGCTTAGTAATGGTTGCCTGACTTCACCTAGTGCTAAACTAACTTGGAACATTGAAACATTCTCAGATATTCTCTAATTTATTCAACAAACCTCCTTGTGGTGGCAGGAAAAAATACTAGGCCCCAAAGATTAAGGACAGGCTGCTTTAAAGCAGTGGTGGCCAAATGTTTCAACAGGCTCTTGTCCTTCCGCTTACAAACATTCCTCCTGTCTGTAGCACCTGTGACCCACTTGGAAAGTAATACAGTATTGCACCCGTGGCAGTGCCTGACTGAGCAGGTGTCTGTGAGCAATGCAACTGCTCCAGAAACAAGCTTGTTGATAACAGAATGTTCACAGACCAGTTCTGTGGGGCGAGACAGTTGTCGGCACAGGGTTTAAAAGGGCATGCGGATAGTGACTGGCTTCACATGCTGATAGTGATTTGTGGGAATTTTCCTGTGGGGCTTCCATTTTGAATATTCAGAGCATAGCAGGGGCACACCATAGCTATTTGTTACATGCGAACCCATTGAAGTGGTCTGTGGGGGTGGTTGACAAGCAGCCCAGAAACCATAGGCTCTTTTAGGTGGCTTGCACACACCAAGAACCTATAGCATGTCCTTGTTGTATGCCCAATATTCAAAATAGTGGCAGCCACCACAGTAGAAAGTCCTGCAGGAAAATTCAGCCACAACGGCTTCTTGTTACTCTGCAGGGAAGGCTAAGAATGGCAAAGCTTGAATGTCAGAGCAATCCTAAAAGTGATCCTAGAGTGATCCTAAAAGATAAGGGTTGTAAATGGCAGGGCTGGGCACCAGCAGTAAGGATCAAAGAGCCCGGAGGCAAGGGATCAAAACTTGGTCCGTGAATATCCTTAAGCAATTTTATTCCTAAAACCGAAAAGCCGTTCCCTGTATGGGTAATCATGGCAGGCTGCTTACATAAATACACAGTCTTTTTTCCCTTGAGGTACATCCTTCATTTCTGTTGAAACCACAGGGAGCTTTTGTCACTCAACAGCTCCCAGAATAATTGCATTATTTACGTGACGGCAGCTGTTCAAAGATATGCATGAGATTTACATCTTGGTTACACTGCAGTCTGTATAAACTTCAGGGAGACACAAACGTGCCAAATGCTTCTAGTCTAAGTACACAGAGCAGATGGGGAAAATGACAGCACCTAGCAGTTTATAGCAAGAGTGCCCAGGCAAAAGAAATCTCATAGGCAAAGCTGAAGTGCTGGAGACTGCTAACAGTTGCAGATCCCAGTGGTGGGATCCAAGACTCCATCAGAGGGGATGAGGAGCCCACTGGATCAGGAAGAGCAGTGGAGAAGCGGTAGCCATGGCACCCAGCCCCAGCCCCCTACACCAAGGCTCCGGCCTAGTAAGGACACAGCCCTCCACGTGCGGTTGGGTTCCAACTCCCGTCAGCCCCTGCCAGAGTGGCCAAAGGTCAGGGATGTCCGTTTGTGCAACCACATCTGGAGCATCACAGCTCAGCCAGTCCTTCTGCAGGCCGTGATCGCAGAAGGTCGGCGCTGCCGCACTAGGAAAGCATCTGGTGAGCTTGTGTCTTGGACCCTCTCATTGCTGCTGGGATGCCCAAGCAAGGAGTGCGGCCTTCTGAGCCCTGGATCAGTAAAAGGCTTTCTGGCCCCTATTCAGCCTCCAACCAGCAGCCTTACCTCTTTGGTCTCATTTTGACTCCTCATGTTTTCTGCAATGAAATGAACATTGCTGATGACCTCTTTGACTTCAGGGGAGCACTCTATTTGCTCAGCCACCCATTTTGCCGTCTGGTGACTGGGCCTCCTCTTCTCACTCGGGGCTGGCTCGCTGGGCTTGTCACAGTGACAGCACCTGTGCTCGCTGTAGCCTTTCCCATCTCTGGAGTCTTCGGCTGTTTGCTTACTGGGTTTTGTGGTGGCCGGTTTCGGAGGTGTCTTTTTAGGCTGGGTTTCAACACGTTTCTGTATGGGCCTCTTCATCATGAGAACTTTAGGCAGGAGACGGAGGAAAACGGTCTGGACCCATGTGGGCATGCTGTGGGTTGTCAGAGTCCTGTAGTGGATGTTGAGCACAAAGACAGTGACGACGATTGAAAGCGTCACAAAGATCATGGTGAACAGCAAATATTCCCCCACCAGCGGGATGACCAGAGAGGTGGAGGGGATTGTCTCTGTAATCACTAGCAGGAACACAGTCAGGGAAAGCAGGACAGAGATGCACAAGGTCACTTTCTCTCCACAGTCAGAGGGAAGGTAGAACACCAGCACAGTCAGGAATGAAATGAATAGGCAGGGGATAATCAGATTAATGGTGTAGAACATGGGCAGCCTTCGGATATAAAAGGAGTAGGTTATATCAGTATAGATCTCCTCACAGCAGTTGTACTTGATGTCATGCTTAAAGCCAGAAGCATCAACAATCTCCCATTCGCTGTTCTCCCAGAGGTCATTCATATCCACTTTGGAACCAATAATTAGAAGATCGATTTTAGCTTTGTCATAAGTCCATGATCCAAATTTTAGGGAGCAGTTCTGGTGATCGAAGGGGAAGAAGGTGATATCCATGGGGCAGGAACTTTTAAAGATGGCAGGTGGTGTCCATGTGATGGTGCCATCATACCTAAGCAGAGCTTTGGTCCGTCCTTCAACCTGGAAATCTCCAACAGCACTGGAAAGACAAGGACGAGACAGTGAGTGTAACATCAGCAAGAAGCTGTTAACTGTTATTAGTTTTTAAAGGTGCTTAAAAAGATCAGGAGTGAAAGTTCATACTTGTTGTATAGCACAATATCAGGTTTCCAAATTTTGTCTGCTGGCACACGAATAGACTCAATCCCGTCATATTCCAATGGATTCCATCGTAGTTTATAGTCATTCCAAATCTTTAAAAAAGGGAAACGAAGAGTGTTTTGTTCTTAGAACATTTGCCTTGTACTTGCAGCTGGAGTCGCAAGGCTTTTACCCAGAGCATACCTCACCCCCAGTCTATGTGCTTGGAGCATGCATTTATAATAGATGCAACAAACAAACAGGTAAATAAATCTGTGAGCCAAGGTGATGTAGTGGGTAGAGTGTTGGTTTGGAGTAGTGGGGTATGGACTGAGATAAGTCACTCTGCCATAAAGATCACAGGGTGGCCCTGTTGTGAAGGTAAAGCAAGGGGTTCCCACACAGGCGCAGTCCTGTGGTTGAACATGATGTTCTGAAGCACACAGCTGCCATGCACCTATTTTTCTTCTCCAAGTCATCATATTCTATATCTTGCCCCAGGTAAGGAGAATGCAATAAGAAACACTTTAACCTTCCTACAACATCTTTAAAAAAACAAAACAGATTGTCTGTTCTTTCTTCTCTCTGTTACTCTTTCCCCCCTTCCTGCTCCCCACTCCTCCATTCTACTGGGGTCCTCTGGGGGCAAACTGGAAATGGACTGTATCTTTAAGAAGGCAATACTATGTCAGTACATCATAATGCTCCATACACTTTCTGTGGCAGCCAATAATTTTGAGTAAAAAGGCAGGAAATGCAATGATACCAGCACATGGGTAAGTAAGTCATGCTAACTCATAGCTGGCTGGGGTGCTGGGAATTGTGAGTCATTGTATCTAGAGGGCACTAGGTTGGGAAGGCAGTACTAGAGTATAATGATACATACTGAATGGCCATTTTTGGCTTGCCACGGTGTCTAGTTTGGTTCTGACTCCTTAGAGGAAAAGTGGGATACAAATGTAATAAGCACATTTGTATAACACTCTTCCTGTGTGCATGTAAAAATCTCACATTTGATTGCCCATCAAGGTACATGGGCAACCAACTATATTTCTGTATATCTATAAGTACAGGTGTTTAAATATGCACCAGTTGGTGCATATTTGAAGAGGATAACACACGGCAGAAGAAAAAACATTCTTATGTGTTTTTATTAAAAATGTAAGATTCCAGCCCTGTCATAAACACCTCTGCAGGGCCTGGCATTGCTGTGAAGTACACCCTGCACTGAAGGATTTACTTACATGTCTCAGCCAGAGGTTGGTTTCCATAATCTGATTGACTTCATCCTAGAAACAGAAAAAATGTTTCACTCTTACTGATCTGTTATATGGCTGGTTCACATAGTCCTACATGGTGCAGACTGTGGTGAGGAATCTGCAGTCATCAAAATATTGTTGGTCTCCAACACCCATCAGCCCCTGGCCGGCACAGCAGTGAAGATGGCTGTTATAGTGCAGCAACATCTGCAAGACCACAATGTCCTCACCTGTGGTGGAGGCTCTACACATGGTAGAAGATAAGAGAAAGGTAGAAGATAGGATAGGACACCTGAAATTGTCAGACATTCATGCAGAAAGGGTCTTTTAGTGGCAATAGCTGATTTGGGCTGCCATTTTGAGAGTACGTCCCGAGTCCCTGAGGCTGGGTCCATGCTTGGGCACCCGAGATGGCATTTAGATGGTAGCCTACCAGGGCTGGAGGACCAACCCTTCCACTGGGAGGCCATTTGCCCCACCACTTTGCTGTCCACAGGCACTTGCTGAAACAAAGGCGCAGGAGCCCTGAGGATCTCTGCTGCATTGGATTCCCCGGGTTAGCTGACTTTTGTTCATCGGTGCGTCGCCTCCTGCTGCCCCCACCTCTTGTCTCTTTTTGCCAGAGGGTTTTGTTACTGTTGAACTCAGATGCCTTCCGCTCCCCTGTCCACATTTTCCTTTTCACAAATAGGGGTATCCCCAGAAAACTGTGCCCTTTACAGACAGTAGATTAGTATTTTTCTTTTTTGTTCCTTTGGGCCCGAGCCCCAGATGTTTTCATTACCTAGTATTGCCCTTGTTATGAATATGCAGATGTATTTGGCTGTCTTCTTTGCGGGGCAAGATGCTGCATTAAAAGGACCTTTGGTCTGATCCAGCAAGATATGTCTTGCATTCATATCATGTGTGACAGACCTCCCCATCCTGGTACCCTCCAGATGTGTTGGACTCCAACTCCCATAATCAGGGAATTCAGCACATCTGGAAATCACCAGGTTGGTAGAGGTTGATCTCTGATAACCTTTGATGTACTTATTGCTGTGTGCACACAGCTCTCTGGGCAGAATCTCCTTACACACAAGGAGTAAATAAATCAAGCAGCTGGGCAGATGCAGGGCTGGCCTTACCGTTAGGCAAAGTGAGGCACTTGCCTCAGACACCATATGCTGGGGAGAGGCACACAAGTCACCGGGACCTTCTCCTGCATGAACAGCATGTTGTGCAAGGGTACGCCTGACCTGGCACACAAGCCTTGTGCAAGAAAATTTCCAGCAAACTGTGACCATTGAAATGCAGCTAGAAGCCTGGCCTAAGGTTGTTCACACTTTCCTCCTAATGCATAAGAAAGAGATAGGAAAAGATTGGAGGCCTAACTCGGCAAGAACTAGTGAGCAGATGGTATAAATCACTCCTGTGATTTGTTCAGGGGCTGATTTGAAGGCGTTTGTCCCACGAGGAAAAGTTTTTAAATTATATGATTAAAGCAAGTCTGCAGCTCAGTTTATATTGGCAGTACATACAGTCATTCCAAAGATGCATACTGCAGAACACGGTCCTCTCACCCACACCTGTGGCAGGTGTGCAAAAGCTAAGCCTCAGCCACAGTTGTACCTTGTTCCTCACATCTCCTCTGCATGGCCATTTTCAGTGGTTTAGATTTTGGGCTGAGAAGGGAAGGACAGCAGTCTTTGGAGGGATGGGGGCTCAGTTTCGGTATCCCAGTGCTGGGACGCCAAAGAATCCTATGGCCTCCCAGATTCTGCATAATCTATAGTACATGCCATAAATAAATACACATCACTCCTGTCATTGATCAATAATGGAATTCCAAGCAATTGGCCATTTCTCACTGCACTTTTTAGTCATAGTTCTTTTAACAAACGGTAAAACCTGAGTGGTCCATAAGTGAACGTCTGAGGAACTGATATCTTTCCATGATTTCATGGATATTTATAATGCAGTATTTATCTTCGTCCATTACTGCTTTCCCATAACATCTTCCAACACTGTCATGGTAACTTTTTATGTTTCTATTTTTATTATATTTTAAGGCAGATACAGAAACAATCAATGAAAAAGAGACAGCCAGTAACACACAAACTCTCAAATACTGAGCCCGGGGGGAGCCCTAGTATTGATATTGCTGACCAAGTCAGAATCCCTTTTTGCTTCTGCACGAGGCTGCACTCACACAACACAATAAGCCACCCTTCATGGTTACCATAGTTCATGTTTTTCCCCATAATCTAACCAACAGAAGATCCTTTGGTTTCTACATTATTGTGGTTTCCATCTTTCCTATTCAATCCTCCTGTTATTGGCATACATCCCATCAGACCCTGTGCCTGAAACTCAGTCCCAAGGTGCATCACTCCCTGCCTATCATCTGCCTCTTCCTCATGGGTCCATACATAAAGGCCAGATGGCTGGAGTGGCTCCTTCAGTTGACACCCTTTCCAGATGACTTCACAGTAGTTTTATACTGGGAGTGTGGAAACTATAATCCTGGGTTCAGACAACACAACCAACCATGGTGGTATGGAGAAACCTTATTATAAACATGGTTTCTAAAGATGGAACCTACCATGGTGAAATACCACAACTGGGTTCAGACAACATCAGAGACAAACAATGGTAAAAACACAAGCAAGCCATGGCTTGTCTGAACCCACTCCATATAGGTAGGCTGGACAGTGGGGATAGGTTAGGGCTTCTGTAAATGTGCTTCATGAGCCAAACCTGGATGGGAGCTCTAACACAAGCATAGAGCTCCCCGTTCATTCTCATGGAGGGAGATGCTAGGTGTATAGCTGGGATTTTCTTCGCTGCACCCATGGAGCACTTCACCAGCCTCATAGAAGAGGCTGGGGAAATCCTCAGGTACACAGAGTATTCTATCCACCTTGGAGTTGCCATCAGACCCAGGTGATATTCTTCTATGTCTGGCATTCTGGTCTGCAGAGCATTTCAAAATTTATTTACCCTTACCACATTTGCGAGCTGCGTAATTGCCACTTCGAAATACACCGTAACTGGATCAGACACATTTTCCACAGGTCTGATGTACTGATTGTAATGCGAAAAGAGTTTGTGAAATAGCCTTTCTTCAGATTTGCAGGCCAGGCACTCTGCAGAGGAATAAGAAACAGCCAAAGGAATTGGTCATGCAATGTGGAGCAAGAAAGTGGCAGGAGAAAAGATAACAGCCTGAGCAAGTTAGGGGTGTGGAAGTTCTCAGTGGTGGATTGGACTGAAGACAAAAGTCTTGAGGCCCAAAATAGTAAAGATAGATAAAGAAGGGGGTAGAGATGTGTGAGGAACCTACTTTCAGTGGAAAATCTGCTGGTTTCCCTTGTTTTGGCTTCCTGGTCTGCTTTTCAGAGGCCCAGAGTCTGAATTCCCAGTGAGGGCACTCAGGGTGTGTGGGGCACATCCCAGGAGCTGAGCCCCACACACCATGCAAGCAGTGCCATGATTGGCTCTTGGGAATAGGGCTCATTGCCCCTGCTTGCTGAGCCCCTTTTACCTGTGTGTTAATGGTGGCTGCAGGGGGCAGGGAGGGAGGTCAGCTGCCAGGAATGGTGGCTGGTGCACCCTCTTGCTTCACCCCCTTTCCTCAAGTACTTCCCCCACCAGCTGAAGGAGGAGTAGAAGGTTGACTGCCAGGAACAGTGGTTAGGAAGGTCCCCAGTTGTGCAACTGGAGGTCTGCAAGGGTTTGTGGACTTCCTGCTGGATAAGCTCTCTTTCTTAGAGAGGGAAGAGCACCAGACGTCCAACAGGAAGATGTGACCCCGGTTCAGGGAACGTAGCCATCTGGGGGACCTCACTGGCTGTTATTCAGGGGATGGCAGTGCTTCATACTGAGAAGCCTTCCTCCAGGCCCACCCTATAAGATGAGTGGGAACTGGGAAGAGAGCCTTCTTGGTTTTGGTGTACTGCTTGTGGAATGCTCTGGAGGAGGGTCTCAAATCACGATCATAGAGCATGCATAGAAGGTGCATAGAGACAAGGCACTCTAACAAGCATGTTGGTCCTTAGCAATGGAAAGCTGTCCAGCTCAAACCTGGCCATTTGAACTGGGCTTGGAAATTAGCCAGCCAGTCCAGCTGGGCCAGAACTGGTGTTATATGTTCAGGCCTTCTGGCGCCGCTATTTCTTTGGCTACTTCATTTTGCACAGGTTTATAACTTCTGAAGCATATCCAGTTCCCTGTGGAGTGCATTGCAGCCATCTATCATGGGCAATACGAGAAGATTCAATACTGAGGCCAAGTTAACCATATCCAGAAAGGGGCATGGCTTGGGCACAAGCCCAAGGTGGTAGAAGGTACTAGTAACAAAGCTGGTTCCAAGAGAACCTCCAAGATTTGAACCTGCTTCTTTGGGGGGTGGGGTGCGGACCCACACAGAGCAGGCTGAACACCTTCCATTGAACACCTGACCAGGAAAACCACCCCACAACAGTAGTTTCACGGATGTGTTCAATGGCAGGGGTGACAAAACCAGCTCCATGGAGCCAAGTGGTATTTGCCAAGGACCACTTTTTGGAGCTGGCCATTGAAATAGGCATGAAATCACTGCAGTGTAGTCAGCCCTACTTGAAGTTTTGACACTCCCTAAAGGTAGAAGTGTTGAGGATGCTGAAAGTCACCAAGAGGTCAAGGAGGGTCATTGGGATCATGTTCTCCCCCTCTTTTCCACAGTACATGGAAGCCAAAGCTTTTCCAGGGCCAAAACCCAGCCTGAACCCCGATGTGAAGGGAACTAGATCATTGCTCTTCTCTGCTACTTTCTTAGCTAAGACTGCTTGGCAACCACCTGCTCAAGAACCTTGCCCAGGAAAGGAAAGCTTGTCACTGGCCTAAAGTTGCTGAGAACTTCTGGGCCAAACTAGCACAGCCCATGTTCACGAGGGAGGTATCAGTGGGCTTGGATGACTGTCCCACAAATGCCAGTGGGGAAGATCCATAACCAGCCATATGACAATGGAACCTGTTCATTGGCGGTGGAATGCTGACTAATTGATGGGCAGAAACAGCAGAGAAAGAAATGGAATGAGCTGTTCTGGGGCAAGAAATGGCTGGCTGGCTGGCTGGCATAATGAAGAGGAGCACATCATACTGCACCATTTTGTTGCCTTGCCTTGCCTTGCCTTGCCTTGCCTTTTGCCTTTTGCCTTTTGCCTTTTGCCTTTTGCCTTTTGCCTTTTGCCTTGCAGTCCTAGAAATGCAAGCATTGAAGACAATGCTGGAATAAAGAGAGAAAAAGTAGGGTGGTCCATAATAAAATCCAGGAGTCCCACACTCTGACTGCCCCCATTATGAGTCAGTCAATGCCTTCCCTCAACCGCTTCTAAGAATGAAAGCTAAGTGATGGATAAAAAAGGCTCTGGGCCCCCTCTAGTTCTCTGTAATTCTAGCGCTAGGGAAAAGGCAAGTTACAGATGAGTTCATTAAATAAGGGAATGATCCTGAGGATCCTCAGTATTGTCTGAGGGGGCTTAAGATAGTATGGATTCCCAGCTGCAAGGGCAGGGACAAGCTCCAGCCAGGCTTGGTTGGCCCCTCTGCCCTCCTGCAGCTGGTGTGGAAAGAGCCCCACTGGATGCTCTCCATGTATCTGCCATGCTGCTGTTAAAGACAGAGGAGTAGCAAGCAGCACCCTGTGGCAGGAACTCGCCACCTCCCCTACACACAACGTTTGGGCCTTAAAACTCCCAACTGCCCTTGCCAGCATAGCCAGTGAGGTGGGATCTTGGGAGTTGTAGGCCAGGGCGTCTTGAAAAGCTGCCCATCCTGGCTGACACCCTCTTTGGGAACTGAAGTGCCCCTCCTGTAGCTTTAAAAGCAGCAACACTCCTTTTGAGCACAACCGAAATTCTTCCTCAAAGATCCCCACAGGGGTGCCTGAAAAGCTACTTTAGGAGAGCTTGGTGCTACATTGCCAGGATGCCCCGTGGGCCCAGGAAACCGTTTTTTGGCCTGGGAGGGCTTCCAGAGGACTCAGAAAGGAAACTGCTCAGCTCATCGCTGTGCACCCAGGGATGCTTTGATGTGCTGGCATCAGCCAGTAAAATGTTTCACTGTGCCAATAGGATGGCCACCTTTAGGAAAGGCCTCAAGACAAACGCTTTAACCTGGCCTCTTAAATTGCTTTTAGTGGTGGTGATGCTTTTGTTTTTATTGACATTTTTTGTGGGGGTAGAAGGCCTTGTTGTACAGAAGGTTGGTAAAAAAATACAAACAAAAAACTCTACTGCTCTTCTGTTCCTTCCTCAGGAACATGATATGCAAGCAGTTGGCCATGCTGGCTGGGGATGATGGGAGTCACAGTCCCAGGATGTGACTTCTTCCACAGGATGGAAGAAGTCTGATTTATGAATGGTATACCCCACATTTCTTTTAAAAGAAGCATTTATTTATTACATTTATATACCTCCTTCTTCCTTCAAGGAACCCAAGACAGCTTATATAATATTTCTCCTCCTCTCTATTTTATCCTCACAAGAACCCTGTGAGGTAGGGTAGGCTGAGAGCCAGTGGGCCAAAGTCACACCATGAGCTTCATGGCTCGGTGGAGACTAGAACACCCAGGACTCCTGAGTCCCAGCACTCTCACCACTGTGTCCCACAGCCTTCCACTTGCATTTAGGAAAAAGAAATCCCAGAGATGGCCATTAGCACTATTCTGATTTTACGTGGAGAAGACAGGGAAATTGGATGCCCAGGTAGCATTATTCTCCACCACCACCACCAGCTCATGTAGCATCTTCATAGGGGTTTGTGCTTATGCTTGTGCTAGGAAAAGTTTCGCTTGCAGGTCTTTGCACATCCCACTACTGTGGCAGGCACAGGTGCAGTCCAGATTTCTTTCCTGGTCAGTTGACAACCCTAGTCTGGAGAACAAGCAAGCTTCTGTCACAGGCCCAGGGAAAGTTGGCAATCCTGGGCCAGAGGTTGGAGCCGACAGATGAGTCTTGGCCTCCTTGATAAAAAAAAAGTTGAGCAACTGATAAACGGGGCAGCTGCCACACCGTATCTGTTTTACCTGGCCTGATCCTGTGCTTTAAACAGGAGGCTAACATGACAAACTGAAGCATGTGGGAAAAAACTCGACTGCTTAATTTTTGCCCCTCAGTCTGTTCAGGGCAGAAAAGCAAGGCCATGGCACCGAGCACTCTCTGAAATCCAGCCACAAAAGGATTTTACATGTTGCCCAGCAAGACTACAGTTTGTGTAGCACTGGACTGGGGGAATTTGCCAAACCTTTCTCTCAGAACAGGGCAATGATTCATAAAGTGGGATGGACAGCCAGATGCTATGCAGGGCTACTCAGATGTAAGTTCCACTGAGTTTGGCAGGGCTTACTCCCAGGTAAGTGCTCAGAGTCTTGCTCCTTTAGTCAGCATGTGTGGTACAAACCAGATGCCAGTGAGACCCGTGATACCTTCCTATATAAAGTGACTTTATCTTCTGAAATAGCACTTTGTATCTCATGTTTTAGTACAAGCACTGTCTACTTTCCAACAAGATAAAGCTTTCTCCTCATCATTTAAACTGCAGTGAAGTGAGGAAAACATTTCCCCTTCTTCAATAAAGAAATTTCATGCTTTGCTTTGATAAAGGAAACAGCCTCTTTAACTGGAGTATGTGGGTCACATACCTCATAGCTTTCAAAATAATAAAAGCAGGAACAAATCTTTTCTCTCAAGCTGTATCTTCAAGGATTAGACAAACAGTATTACAGATACCAAAAAAAGAAAGAAAGAAAAAGAAAAAGATGCGGAGCAGGGGTGGGGAGGGAGAGAAAAAGAAAATAAAAATAACTTACCTTGAAGAAGGAAGATGAATGTGTTTGCCCAAGAATAGAAAGCGAGATAAAGAAACCGCAAGCTTTTCTGTGAAAGCATTGTCAGAGAGAAACAGAAAGTGCTGTAGCAAAGAAAGCACAAGACCAGGAGGGAGTAAAGACCCTCAGATCTTCACTGCTGCAGTGGCTGTTTCAGTTTGGCATCCGGAGCTGCAGCTGTGCCCAGCGAATGCTTTTAAATAATGTACCATCCATTGGTCTGTGGGGTAAAATCTTCCAGAGATGGAAGAGTTTTACTGTCTTCAAAGGA